ATATTGTAAAAGTAATTACCGAACTTACAGAAACTGGGAGATGGTTGTGTGGAACGAGTGCTCTCAGCAGAGGACAGTGGCACTGCTGTCAGAGTCCTTTGGTGTCCTCTCAGCTTTCTCAAAACCAACATGACCTCTGCTCTCTCCCTTTTGTCCAGAAGCTGCCGCCGTGCACACTCTTCTGGGTTTTGAAGCTGTGGATAAGCCATTTAGGAATCACTCCACAAACGTGTGGCAGGGTGGAAGTAAGGTGGTCCATCCTTTCTGCTCCTGTTAGTAGGGAGCTGTAGCTGGTGTGGTGTAGTTAGTTAGCTCTGCTGTGGGTTTGTTTTAAACAATACATAACAACAGTATGAGACCACCTGAAAAGACCTGCTGCCGGCAACAGGCAGAAATGTAGCTGACATCTGAGATGTCTAAAAACTCAGTTCTGAGCCCCTCCTGTTTTAGCATTTATAGAGTGGCCTGACATGAAAACAGCCACTTCCCCCCATCCGGACTGGGATATTGGATCTGCTCTCTGTGGGCAGAGAGAAGCTTATAAGTCATTTTTCCAGATGGCTGGAGAGGGGTCAGGAGAGGACACTTGAGCCTGTTCTGAGGCCTGCTGAAGTCAATGAGGTCCTTTCTCTCCATTTCTTTGGGCTGTCAGTGGCCTGTTCCTTATCAGGCCTGAGAGGCAGCACTGATAGCACACAGACCACTTGAAATGCTGGGCAGGGTGCTGGAAGCCCGCCACCGGGACACAAGCGCCTTTTTCATTGCCGGCACGCTTGGAGCCAGGGACAGAATTGTGCTTTTCTTGTGTAAATCACAGGAAGAACCTCTGCAGATCCAGCGGGCTCCCTTGAGGGGCTTGGCTCTCGTTCAGGGTTGGCCGAAGCTCTTGTGTGTGTGTCAGGGGAGACAAAGTGCCACCATTCTTGTTCAGGGGGAATGATAGGGAGAAGGGAGGAGGACACTGGTGACTGTGACCATATGTACACAGGTAAGGACAGACAGATACAGTTGGAGCAGCTGTCCTTTTAGATATTAAAGAAGTCAGAGAAAAAATGCTGAGACTGTCTGGCCCCCATTGTTCCCAACAGAAGATGAAGATGCTAACTAAGCACACTACAGTTCTGGGGATGGGTGTTTGTGAGGGTTATTATGGAATATTATGGCCTTGGTTTGATACGTGCACTTTGAACTTGCAGGCGTGTTTTTGCCCTGGCTTTCTTGCTAATTCCCAAATGTCAGGAAACCACAATTTCTTCCCAGCAGTTAGATCAAAGTAGGGCAGAATTTTTTGTTTGGAAAGCCTTAGGCTTCTGATTGTTTGCACAATATTCTTGCTGGGTTTACTGCACAATAAAGCTGTGGATACAAAGAAAGCCACAGCATAGCACCAAAGCCCCCAAATTCCCTAATATTTTGTGAGTGTGGGCAGTGCTGTGACTAACTCTGTAAAGAGAACTCATTGTTAATCACAGTACACACAATGCTACAATAAATCCATAGAATAACAGCAGCACCCAGGTGGAACAGCCTTCTCACACTGGCTAAAGCCCATTTGAAACACACACATTTGTGAAGTTGAGCTGGAAACTGTGCAGGAAGTGGTAAACAAAGATTGATGCATTCACCTTCAGGGCTGGCTGCTGGGAAGCACATGGTTTGGGACGGTGGATACCTTCAGGAATACCGTACAGCTGGCACGATGTTGCCTTTGTTCTCTTTTGGCCAGCTGTCCTGGCCAGCAGCAGTCCAGGTTTCTGTGAGCCGGCTTTGGCAGCCCTGACCAGTGCCAGCAGCCAGGACGAGCCCTGCTGCCTCTGCCTGGGTGAAACTCCTGCTGGAGATAAACAGAGATGGTGTTAGTGAAGGTGAAAAAGTAGGACACTTGAGTACCTGGTTACATGACCAACTATCCCTTGTCCCTAGTCCAGCTGATTGCTCCTGGTTTCACAGGGATGTGTAAGACATGGACGCATTTGGGGCCTCGGTCACGTGAGCTGCCCCTGCGCGTGGGTCCAAGGCAACTTGCCAGAACAGACTCATCTGCAGAGAGTGTTCTGCTGTGTGTGTATCAAGTACAGCAGAGCTGGCCACTGACGTGGTTTTCATCTGGAGCCCGTGCAGGAGGCCTCAGGTTTGAAGCAGACTAATTATTTTAAGTGAATCGGCCCTTTGTAATATTTAAGAGGCCTAGAAGGCATAAGCCTCTTTCAAATGATACATCTGGGGAGGCTCATGCAGGGTTTTCTTGCACCACTACAACAGCTTGCCTCATCAGAGATGGAGCCTCCCTCTTTTTGTCAAAGAACACTTCCCCTCTCGGTTTCACTGACACGTGTGTGTGTTTTCCTGTTTACTGCACATCCTTCTTAGCAGCAAACCCCAAGTACCTGTTTTGTTTGCCTTCCTTTGTTAGGGATGAGCCTGTGTCCTTGCAGCACACAGCCTCATTTCTCACCAGAAACACATGCTCAGTAAGAGCCACCATCTCCTGTCAGCACTCATATGCTCATCACATTGAGATAATTCAAGATTCCAGCACTTCAATAGGTGGAATGCAACATGGAAGAGACATACAGAGTGCTGTCCTCCACTCAGAGGAGCTAAGAACACCCATTCTGGAATCTGCGTGGATATTAGCAGCTGTGGTGCCTGGCTGCTGCTGGAGGAACTGTCTGAGGCAGTTACACAGCTTAGAGAGAGAACAGACGGGGTAGCTATTAAAAATTAGTTGTGCCTGTGCTTAAACACAGAAATGGGCTGCAGCGCATATGCTGAGTGGGTAAAAAGATATTAAATTTGTACTTATTCAGCCCAAACACAGACAGGCTGCAAGTTGCTGGCTCTGTTTTGCCTCTTCCACCTCCATTCCTTTTCTGACTTGCACCACAAAGCCAGTGGCCCTTAGCCTTTGTTAGTGTTCCTGAGCTGTGCCGTGGGATGTCCAGGCACCCAGGCTGAGGGCTCTGCTGCCATGGTACAGATGAGTTATGCAACCAGAAGTTCCCTGGGGACTTCCGTGGCCACCAAGCAGCCTTACAGAAACTAGAGAAAGGGAAGTGGTGAGAGCACTGAGGAGCAGGAACGGGGGTCCTGGCTGCTGTGGCTGGGTGACTGCTGAGTCCCATTCATTATCAGGACAGTGCAGGCAGGCATGAGCCCCCGTGCCTGGCCTTCAAACCAGCCATGGGTGGGGTTTAGAGTGATGGAGCCTACCTCTCCTGTTGGTTCTGGGGCCCCAAATCCTGCATCCACACTGGCATTCGGACATGCAGACCAGGACCCGCTCGCACTTGACCAGCTTGGAGAAAGCCGGGAGCTAGCTGACATCTGGCTGGGTCTGTCTAGTGCAGCTGTGCCCTGAGGGCAAGAGATGGTGCCTGATTAAACACAGCTAAAAGAGCTCATGCTGCCAAAGATTTTCCTGGAACCCCTTGTAGGCAGAGACCTGGCAGCATCAGAGATTGCTGCGCGACCGGGTCACAAGACATTGCAGATAAATAAAACCGAACTGATTGTACGAAAGCTATTTTTGCAAAATGAAATCTGTTTCAGAAAACTGGGACTTGAGTTGCTGCTTGTTTCTTGGCAGCACAGCACTAACGCCTGTGATGTGCTGCCACTCATTTCTGGCAAGCACCAACTCTGTGGTTTATAATCTGCGTTCGTACATAATCACTTGCAAGTTGTTTCTATAGATGCTGAATGTAAAATATTTGGATCAAACAGATTGTATTATCTTACATAACTTGTTCCCTTCCATACATTCAATGCCACATATCTCTTCTACTCCCTTCCCTCTGTGATCGTATCAGTGGATCCTGTGACGGGGAGCTTATTCCAGCTATGGATTGTACTTTGGAACAGAGCTGCTAAACATAGAGGAAGCCCATCCGTGGAACAAATGACGAGTGGGTGGCATTCAGGCAGTGTGGCATATGCATTCTTTCTCATTTGGTCTGGCCTAAGGAAAGCTTTCACGCATCCCTCAATGTATTTTCCCTCCATCTCCTCACCCCTGCTGGGTTCCTCTTTCTCACCTAGATTTGTCACAGTGTTCTATATATTCTGGCCCAAATTTTGCCCCTTCTTAGTTTTTGCTCATCCTTCCCTAGCATGACTTTTAATGGACTTGGCTGAAACTGTGTTTGCAGAAGAATGAAGACCCTCTGGATTTGATTGTTTCAGTAGTCTCTCTGCCTTTGTTCCTGCCAGTTGAGCTGATTTCACTGGAAATAATTCCTGTGGTGCAGTCTGTCAACTTCTCCCCTTTCAGCCCCATAGTTAGTGAGCATCTTGCAGGTGGATCTGCTGTACTGCTCATGAAAAATTATGGTGCAGATGCATTCTCCCGTTAAATCTAAGTGAGCTGTGAACCTGTGTGGGATGTCTTATGAACGGCCACATGAAAAGGTTGTAACAGTCAAAATTTAAATCTGTCCTCAATCTTGCTCTTCTTCCATGGGAACAAAAAGTATCTTGCAAATGCTGTTTGCCTATTGATATTTTCTTCAGGGCAAAGGCTTTAATTATTGAAGTTCAGTTCTATGTGATAAATTTGTACATATCAGTCTGGAAGATTTCTGCTGAAATAGAACCACTGTTTTAGGGGATTTCTTCTTTGACTGCAGTGTGATTAGAAGCAAAGTTGGTTTAAAGTAGCAAAATAGACCTAATGCAACAGAATTTCCACTGGGCTATGTAATGCCGAGGCTTTGCCACCTCTTTGCAATATCTGCTCCGCCTGGACATTTTCCTTGATTCCAGCTTTTTGACTCATTGAAGCATATTGTGTTAGATAGGTCTGAAATGCCTGTTCCCACAGCACCACTTCTGTCATGAACACAGTCTGCCTCCACGTGGGATCCTAGCTAAAGGCTCTAATTTACAGCTTTTCATTTCAATTCTCCTTGAAGACAAATACCTTTTTTCAATTGATAAATGACATCCTTTTCACACTTCAGGTCACACAAGCAGTCTCTTACCTTTTTTTCGTTCGCAGAGAGAAAATCAAGAAAGGTCTAAAGGATCTGGAGGAGGTGACACCAGCAGGTGAGACATACATACATGAAGGACTAAAACAGGTAGGTTTTACTCATCTTCTTGCAATCAACACATCCTCTGTTCTCGCTCTTTGGGTAACAACCTGTAACATAAATAGATTTATGTTTTATCAGTCTGTTATGCTCAAATCTGTCTGGTTGCCTGAGTGGTCCCAGGGTTGCCCAGACACTCTGCAAACTCCATGCAGAGGATGACTAGCCATCACAGCAATCTGCCGTGTGGAATTTCCCTGACTCACTCCTTCTCAGGGAGCAGGGGTCTGTGGGGGGGATCTCAGTACTCAGCCGGCATCCCAGTGACACTGTAAACAGCCACATGCAGCAGCAACCCAGAGACAAATGCTCCTCATTTTGGGCTGTCTTAATTAGAGTTCCCAGACACTTATATTCTTCTTTGTTCAAATAATGCAGTTTTGATGAAAGCCCTGGCCCTGAAGGTGAGCATCTAAGCTTTGACTGTTACAGACAAGTCAGTTCCCCTGTGACTGTAGAACCTTGTTTGTAACCAGGATCTGTGCAATGAAAAGCTGGGCCAAGGGAATTTTGGTGCTATTAAAAAAAATTTTTTTTTAATATCTTGGAACCTACTGACTGTGTTTGAAATCTGGGGGTAGCAAAGGAAATCCTGGCAGTGGATTTGAAGAGATCTGTCCTAGAAGAAATGTGTGTTGGCAAGGGTTGATGGGTCAGTGACCCCAGTGCTTTGGAGATGGGCTCAATGGTGGCTGGAAAGCACAAATGAGGGGTTTCCCTGCTGTTAGTGAGTTCAAGGGAGGCAGAGGATTGTCATGAGAGAGCATTAGATGCTTAGAAGATGCATCATGGTTAAAAGTTTGGATGTAATTTTAAGGTGGATAATTAATTTTATTGTTTTCAGGCCAACGCGCAAATTGCAAAGCAAGGAGCCTCAAGGTTCTCTAGTATCATCATTGCGCTGACTGATGGCAAGCTGGATGGACAGATTCCCCTGTATGCAGAGAAGGAGGTGAGCATGAGCTAGAAATGTCATGCTCTGCAGAGTTTGGGTGCTGCCTTGTTGAATAAAAAAATGCTTATTGCTCTGTTCTATGATGCTACAGGCAAGGAAATCCAGAGAGCTGGGAGCGAGAGTTTACTGTGTTGGTGTCCTGGATTTTGAACAGGAACAGGTAAGAATAAGACCCTAACTATTATAGAGTCCTAGGCAGTACCTCAACCCAGAGTTTTACAGAGTTAATTTCAAGTAGTACAGAAATTTAATTTTACTTACATTAGGAAGCGTAATGTCTTCTCTGGCTGAGGAAACACACTCGGATGTGTACGTAGACGTAAATAGAATGTGTGGGTGTCGTGCTCACTGCCAAGGGGACCCGTTGGAAATACCCTTGTTAGCTGGGAGCTGCCAACGAGAGGGTGCAGGCAAGCCCCTCTCACTGGAATGGCAACCAGGTCAGGGTACTGATCACGTGAACAGAGGAGCTGTAGACAAGATTCAAGCAGTGTATATGTAACAGTTGGGATAAGGAAAAGAAGGTGGGATTCATGTCCTTCACTGGAAAGCTGTTCCAGAGTTGCTGAGTCCCAGTGAACACTGTAGCTACTCCTGTTCGGTCAAAGTGGCTTCAAGGAGAGGTACACGAAAGGCTCCTTTCTGCAGAAGATGCAGTGAAAGGGTTTTTAGTGAAATAATAAGCAGAGCAAACAAGGGATGTAATTCTGGACAAAGGTACAAAATCACTGCCAAGATGCAGGCCCTGAAAAGCTTCTTCAGTGTGATGCTTGCCACAATGACTAGCCAGCATTTTGTTAGCTGCAGTCAGCTGTGCTAAGTCCTACAGTTCAGAAAACTCTTAGCTGTGAGAGAGCTCTAAAGTTTCCTTCTCTTCTCAGAATTGATGAGGGTTGCTTTTAGACATCCATTTAAATTTTAAGGGTGTAAAGCACTGTGAGGAATTTAGTTTGCCAGATGATTCATGTGTTTGCATGCATTTTCTCTCCAAAGCTGGAAAGAATTGCTGACGTGAAAGAGCAAGTCTTCCCTGTCACTGGAGGATTCCAAGCACTTAAGGGGATAATCAATTCTGTGAGTACCAGGCAATAAGTTTTACCTTTTCTCAAGATTAGAGCGTACTCTCCAGTCCCACTCCCAGGCAGAACTGGTTCCTAAAGCAGCAAATGCAGTAGATGAAGTTCCTTCCTCATTACCTTAGAGAGGCAGTTCTGTAAATGAGCACTGCTTGCGCCTCCTGCAGTTATTCATGCTCACACCTCGTGTGGAATTTGAGGACTCTTCACAAGGAGAGGGGAGTTCATGTGCGAAGTTTGGGGGATGCTCTGATAAATGACTGCTTTGGGTTTAGTCTGGAAAAAATGGAGACTGTTACTCTGGGAGACTTGAGAACAAACAACTGCTTAAAATCTGGGGAATAAGTGCAATTTAGGAATTAACCTATACTTACAGACAGAAACATTTTAAATCCATGAGTTTAACTCCTTGTTATCCCAATAAGTGGTAAGACTCAGTTCCAGTTTTCAGCATGGCATGAGAAACTCCTGTCGGTGAGATGAGGCCATTGAGCTGATTACCATGGTTTGCAGGAAGGGATCAAAGAGAAACATTTTGGTTGTGATCAGTGGCTTGACACTGTTTCAGCTGTGTGTTAAGACACCTGTGGTTGTGAACACAAAATTTATTTGTCTCATTTTAGACTGAAGGCTGTATCTTTTATGCAGGGTTAACAGTGCTGCTGCTGCATGTAGGCAGCACAAACAGGCAGTGCAAACAGGCTTACTGGCAGAAGTCAAAAGCAATAATGAAATCCTTTTTCTGAGAGAGCCCACTGTCATTCATTTCCCTTTCCTTTTCTTTTTTTAAATAACAAGAGGAAACTACTCACATACAGGATACTACACAGTCACGAATTTATCGCTTCCTTTGAGCAGTGTGGTTTTTGTGAATGCTGTAATGCAGCAACTTATTTTCCTTGTTACTTAAATGTAGTTCCAGAATCTTCCTTGAACTTTCTAAAGAAAATTAATCCATCTTTGGATGCATTGACAGTTGTTCTCCTGAAAAGACAGGGCAGCCCATGTGGTATTCCCTTTAGTATTGAAAATCCCACACACATGCCAGGTTAACATAAGCTGTATAGTGGCCCATTACCCAAGGTGGTTTTGGGCAGTCTCTGGCTAGCAGCAGTGCCAGCCTGCTGCATCCAAACCTCCCAGAACTTTAAAGCACCTTCACTTCTGTGTCAGCAGGGAGGAAGGCTTTTCTGATAAGATATGCCTGATGGTGTTTGCACAAGCCTCAGTCCAGCTGCTTCTGATACTTACAAAAAGCCTGGCTGTAAAAATCCCAGATTTGGGCATATCTCAGCTATAGAACAGGACCAAACATACAGAATGGCAGCACACTGTTTCAAGGTGTAACAGCAGTGACAGGAAAAGCAAACTGATGCACACTGTTGAACAGCTTACATGCACGGTCTGCTTCTGCAGACCGAGCTCCTGAGTTGGCTCAGGCTTTATTTACAGCCTGGCCACCACACACGTCAACACTCGGCTTTTCCTACACAGCACGGGTGGAAGCATCCATAGTAGGGTTTCTGGTTGGTTTGGATCTTGTGTGTGTGTGTGGGCTTTTTTTGTAGTGCATGTGTAGTGGCAGTATTAATATGATATTTAGTATGTTATATTTAATGCTTTTCTTTGCAGGGGTGTGGAGTGATTGTGGCAATTCATTCTCATAACATTATAGCACTGATAAGTAGATCTAATTGAACATGAAATAGTCAGAGTTTTCCTTTTTAGTCACTGTTATAAATTCATTTCAGTTTTCAAGTTAGCTAGAGAATAAAGACTCAGAGACACTGATCTAAAGGGGAAAGCTAATTGTGAACCAGATGAAAAGGAGATAGGTCACAAACATGCAGCAGTATTGCTCAAAGTACAGAGTCAAAGGTGCAGTTGTGAAACCCTCTGTGAATGTTGCTGAACAATTTCTGTTCAGAAAAAACATTGTCTTCAGAAGTGGTAGCAACCCAGCAATTAAAACCCCTGAGCAAAACTACAGCCCAGAATTGCTGAGGAGGGAATGCAGGAGCCTCAACTACATTGTTCTCTCCAGGTATGAGACTATTTGGCTGCTATCCTGTTACTTTTGCCCTCTATCCCAGGAGAGCTGAGCACTTATTCTATGTTTTTTAGTGTTTAAAAAAAAAAGTTACGAGTTCTAGCGCAGACTGTCATACCTCCTTCTTATGCTTTCAGCATAAGCAACTACTCCAATTTATTTTCTCTGGACATTTACACAGTGTCTGTTTAGTCATGACCAGGGATTAACATTCAGGACAGTTGAGATGAACATTTAGACTAACCTCAGCTTAGGTGCCAGAGAGCTTGTGTCATGTTTCAATATTAGTTCTGATAAAATCCTAGGGAAGTGAGAAGGGTTGACACACCTCCATGCCATTGTTTCTGCTGAATAATATCCACTACTACACTACTAACTACATCCAACTACACTACTGACATCCACTCCTAAAAGTCTGTGCAGACCTGTGAAGAGGGGGCTGCTTTGCAAAGTTCCCTGCTCTGCCAGCTTTGCTCATACCTAGCTTACAAGGTCATAACTAAACAGCATTGTCAGTGTGAATAAATCTGAGCAAAACTCTAGAGCTTAAAAGCAAAACGCTGAAGGCAAGTTACTGCACTTTGAGGAACAGTCACTGATGGGGTTTGGCTGATTGTTACACAGAGTGTAGCCTAGTCAACGAGCTAGGACAGGGTGAAGGCTTTGGGAGGGCACAGCTTCTGTCACCATGCAGCAGATCAGTACTAGATAAGGAAATGAAACCCTTAATTAAACTCAAGTTCTGCTGATTTGTGAGTGAAAGTTGTCTGGTTGTCTCTGCAGGCAGAATTGGACAAGGCTGGTACCTTGAAAAGTTACATTAAGGGAACTCACTTAAGTAACATTATCCGTGTATGACAGCTCTAAGTAGACAAACACATTTTTATACTGAAGTAAGTTGACAGCACTTAATACAGGAAGTTAAAATATATTTTGTTCTTAGGAAACACCACAAAAACTTACCAGATAAGACTACAGGAACTGATACATGCAGAACTTTAGAGGAAGTAGGTCAAGATAGGGTCAGTCTAGAGTTGTTTTATCTACAGTGTTCCAAAATTTCTTAAAAATTCTACCTGGAAAGGATTAGAAATAGAATTGGTAATCTCTTCTTCTGCTTTTTCATTTTACAGATTTTACAGGTGCTCAGAGGGGTTTTTTTTTGTTAATTTTACATGGGAAACTCACTGTTAAACATAATGGACAAAAAAAAATAGATCAAGTCATGTGAACTGAGTAGTTGCATTGTCAGTTGAAGCAAAATTCTCTCCAAGCTGGCTAAGCCTCTTGGGAAAAAGCCCTATGCCTCAGCATAAATTTGTCAGTTTGTCCAGGAAAAATTGCAAATTGGGATACTCGAGGATCTGCCTCCTGGTGAAGGGGTGACCAGGGGAGAGGAGACCTCAGGGTTTGCAGGGTACAAGCTGAGCTCCCAGTCTGACATGGAGTGACTTAGACCCACCCAAGGAGTGCATCTGGGACCAGTGAGGCCAAACAAAGGATTAAATGCACACAAGGTCCTTAAAGAAAAATAGATTCACCCAGTGTCAGACTCTGGCTAAAGGGGGATAAGCAGGGAGTGCTATAAAAAAGTAAATTGTTTGCCATAAACGTATAAATTCTCTCCAGTTAAACTCTGTGGGTGATGGCGAGAAGCCTGCTCCTGTTGCAAAGAGCAGTCAGCAAAATCCCTCTGGCATTCCAGTCCCTTTGGACACCAGAGAAGGGTATCTGTGGAATATCCTGGGGGTGTCCATGTCAGCTGGATGGTTCCTGTGTCACTGGCTGTGCATGGCAGTGTTGGAGTTACACGGCTCGGTGACAGCCAGCACGGCGGGGCCCGCGGGGAGCTGCTGCACAAACCGTGCGTGGCAGCGGCGCGCTCAGCTCTGCCCAGGCAGGGACAAAACCAAAGGCTCGTGAGAGGGAGCCAGTTTTGTTGAGGTAGGCAAGAGGCATTCATGTGAGGAACAATTTTAGCCTTTATGTTGATAAAACTTACTGCACTGGCTTCCCAAAGATATGCTTCAGCCTCTCTCCATGAATCTGGCGCCTTCTTTTCCAGCTGTGCTGTCAGCAGCACTTCCTCAGGCTGACCTGGCTTTGGCACTGGGGGAGGGTGAATTACCGAACTCCCAGGAGTCCAACAGCATCTCCCACTGGTACCTGCTGTAAGGCAACAGAATTTGTGTTTAGGGAGGGTGGGAAACTTCCCACTGCCTCAGTGGTGCTCCAGGATCAGACACTGGAGAACGCTGGTTCCATGTCTCTAACCTGGCTGCTTATCGAGCTCTGCTGCCCAAACCCAGGGTCCAGGCTGCAGCTCGGGTACTGAGCAGCAATCAGGGACTACATGATGTTCAAGTAATCCCTGCTGCTGTGCAGCCCCTCGAGCTATGCTGCCTCCCTGCACTTCCTTGGGCAGTGTGCTCAGCCTGCTCCCTCCCTTTCCCCAAGTGCTGTCCCTCCACCGTGGATGAAGGGGGGTCAGCCAGCTGACTGGACGCCGTTAAGATTTTTCAAGGCCAAAATCAGCTTAAACGGTTCATTATCAATTATCCATCAACTTAATTGGATCATTTCCTGTAGGAAGAAAATATGCTCGGTTTATGCACTGGGAATCCAGGAAGCAAACTATTAGACCTTTAAGGAGGTGGGGGGAGGAGAAATGCAGCAAGTTATCATTAAAAGAATTATTCTGATTAAATCAGTCATCTTATTTAATCCCCTTGGACGGTCTAATCTTCAAGCTGCACTGGGTGCAAGGTTCAGAACTAACGCTGCGCTATGTTTTCCATGTGACTGAGACTGAGGAGATAGTTTTGGGAATTACTGCATGTAGTTGTTAAAAGGAATCAATGGCCTGGAATAGAATGCTTTCTGCTCTACCCTTCACTGCCGTGCAGCCCTCAGTTTGACATTCTCTGACATATTACAAACCATATAATGTTCTCCTGGAGCACAGTGAGCTTGATAAGCCAGCACCAGCACTGACACGACTCTGGTTAGAGTGAGCGTGCCTGTGCCCTGTGATTGGGATGGGACTTGTCAGCCAGCCCTGCACGCCTGGCAGCTCTCTTACATAAGGGATGCTGCACAACTGGCTCCAAAGGAAGCAGCCACAGGTCCAAGTGAAATCCAGCCACTCCTTAGTGAGAAGTTTCTTTGAGCCAGATTTTTCTCACTAATAAGAAAAAAAAATAAATAGCCCAACCAACTTTTTTCCCTGTTATGGAAAGTAACAGTTTGTCTTGATTCCTAGTTACATTACTTGATAAGTAATGGTTTTAGGGTTGTTTTTAGCAATTTGGGGGTAAAGGTTCCAATGCTGTTAAAATACTCATCTCATGACCCGCAGTTTTGTCATCTCCATTTGCTTTCCTCGGTGGCTGCCAATGAGGTGCTGCTCAGCCTTGGTGTAATTAGAATATTCTCACTAACCTAACGCCGCGCCAGGCTTCTCTCGGGTGGTGATTTTATGCAAGACCATATGTCTCAGGGATTTTTTTCACTTAGATAGGGGACAGGGTAGCAGTCTTCCCCTTCCCCTCACTCTTTGTCCACGGCACTGCCAAGCTGTGTCAGGGAGCAGGCTGGGCTTGGCAGCGAGGTGTAGTCACAGGCACAGATGTTTGGCAGCAGAGAGAGGAAGGAGCCATGCAATATTAACTGCTGCAGTTCCTGCTCTCACTTTGTGGGAGAGAAGCACCAAAATGGTGTTTCCTTGAAAAGCACGCATTTCATTCCAAGTCACCCTGAATTGATTGCCTTCCCTCTAGTGTGGGGTGGTCCTGCTGCCTCGTGCCTTTCTGCACAGATCGGCACTGGGGAGATAAATGACAGAGCTTGCTTGAACACAGCAGAGGCATGTGATGTGAAACCAATGCTAGAAAGAGTGAAAGGCTGCACTTTGGAAACAGTTAGTATCAGGGAGTTCAAACATTAATTGCTATATGGACAGGCTGGTCTGTCCAGAGCCTAAGGTGGGCTGCGAAGGTGCTTCTCACTTAAAAAGTCTGATAAAGGTTTCTTGAGTGTAATCACAGAAATCAAGAGCTCTACTTAAATTTATTTCCTCTTGTAACCTACTCTAGATCTTTTCTTTTTAAAAACCTAATTCTGCCACACTGCGGCGGGGGGAGGAGGGCACAAGTCCTATTTCCATAAAAAAAGCAACAGCTCATGAATGAGAAATCTGTAACAATGCCAGCCTACATACGCCTTATATTCTTCATCACCCTCATTTCACACACGTTGACTTTACATGCCATAAGAGTCACTGAATTCAGTACAAAAAATCCTGCCCAATGCACAGTCAGCATTTCATTCTCTAGAACAAAACCAGTGAGTCCAGCAACAAATTATACATCTCCTGCTTTACTTCTCTTTCCTTTTTACTATCTTAGTGGTAGTGGAAAAAAAAAGGTTAGAATTAAAAAGAAAGAAAAGGAAGCAAGCTGCCAGTAATACTTCTAAGTGACTCATAGAAAAACAAACATACATGGAAACATGGGGTAAGCCCAGTCCTGCTGCAGCCAATTGGAAGGAACGAAGCAGAATAGTTGTAGGAACTGAACCAAGCACCTGGGTGAGCTCAGTTGGACACAGTTAACCCAGCTGCCTTCACCATCCATTGCTCTGAGGAGCTCCACAGCCCCGAGCTGGGATGGGGCTCCAGAAGGCATTGACTCACCAGAGAATGGCCTCGCTCAGGAGCAGTGTTCTGTAGGCTCAGGAGCAGTGTTCTATAGGCTGGGACAGCCTTCCCCAGCTCTGATCTGGGCTTCTGGACCCCATCAGCACACCCTGCTCCGCCTGTGTAGGCAGGAGCCGTGCTGTTCCCTACCATTTAAATAGCTGCCTCCACACCCAGTGGCATTTCTGAGCAGCTAAACTGGGAGCCCAACGGTGCAGGCAATTCCTCACCAAGAAAAGGCCCACAGCTGGCAGTCATTGAGGCTTGGCTTGCATGCACAGATCCAGCTGAGGCATGGAATGCTCAACACAGATTTGAACACTCTTTATGTTATCAGGGCCCTCTCAGACATCACCTTCCATTACTGCCCCCCACTTGCCATAACTTTATGACACTGACAATCCATGTGTTGCAGTGACAAGTACATGAGATACATGCTTACCACTGTGTCTTGAAATATGTATCCTGATGAGAGATGCAGCTCTTGATGAGGCTGGTTTTGTGGTTACCTGAGGGAGGAGCTTGGCAGAGTATAAGAGGAAGCACATCCTAATGGGCTGTCACACCATCAACAGTGTTTAGTTTCTAGCTCTGTTTTCCTTGAGCTTACAGTTTTGTTCACCAGCTGTTCTGCTTATAGCATCCCTAGAGAAAATTACAGACCCCATGTTTGGGAGGGAGAGAGCAAAGAAAAGGAATCTCCACAGGAAAGAGCTGCAGGCAGTAGTAGCTGAGGCTGCTGTGCAAGGGTGCTTTCAGGGCTGTGCTGCCATCTCTGGCTGGCAGTGTGTCCATGGACTGCACTCCAGGATGCCTTCACGTGCCCACCAGGGGATAAAGCTGTAGGGATGTTAGCTGTGCACACACAAAGTGTGGAAGCCATCCTGTTGTGCTCTCGGGTTTTGCACAAGCCTTGCCATACAGCAGTAGAACAAAGATGAGCTTGTAAAGGTCAACATTTTCTCTTCTTTAAAAACAGGTTCTGGAAACAGCGAGTAGGATGCATTTGCTCTGTTATGGGACGTACACTTGGTTCAGAGAATCAGGCTGCCTTTCCCCAAAAATCACAGCAGCCTGATTTGTGGTCAGCTTACGGTGAGCACTGATGTAAACAGAGGTGCAAGTTTGAATGGATCCACAGGGAGGAAAGGCCACTGGTGGCCCTAGAAATCCTTATTTATTCAGAATTGTTAGCATGCCAGATCTGACCAGAACACATCAGCAGCTGACTCCTTCTAGCAGTTCCTGGTTATTCCGACCTCTGTCCCAGGAAGCAAATGCTTTACACAGCCATAGAGCACTTTCAAGACTCAGAACCATTACAGTGGTTCAGTGAAGAATCCAGCTGTGATGATGACTACCCAAAACCTGAATGCAGTTTACAGTTCTGGGCAGGAACAGATGCCATGCAAGTTATGATTTATGGTGCTGCCTGCTGCCAAAAACTTTTGAACTGCATACAGGGCTAAATGAAACAGAGCAAGGTTGCAAGACAAATTGACGCTTAGCGTATTTTGTTAATTGTCTCTGTATGGTTGGGCTGTTCATGGCTTGTTAGTAGTGCATTGTTCTCACTATTCCATGGAACACAACCTTCATTAGTGTTCTGGAAGGGAAAGTTGTTTGTGTAACACTGTGCCGCCTAGTACAGCTCTGTTCCACAGCATGTGCTGAGGGAATGGCAGGCTAAATACTCGAAAAGCTGCAGGAGCCATCCTGCTTTGCTGTTAAACACTGAGAACTTGTAAGAGACAGCAGTGAGGGTGAAAAGAGAGTCCAAGCAGAGCCACGCCTGGTCTGTGACAGGCTAAAGAGGTCTTGGAAGGTCCAGAAAGCACATTTTCCACAAGAAGAAATGTTGCATAAAGTAGGGGAAAGATCTCTGGCAAGGCAGAATTGATAAACAGAGGTGGAGTTTACAAAGACTGTGAGCAGTGGAGAGCTTGGTGTCAGCCTGTTAGTTGGCTGCCTTTGTGCAGTGTGCTGCAGGGACATCTGCCCTTTCAGTGCTGATGTCAGAATTTGGGTGTGGGGTGTTGCTGCAGCTGGGGGCTGACAACACCCCGGTGAGCGGTCAGTGCAGACACCTGCAGGTCAGAAACAGGCAGAGTTTCTCCAACAGCTGTGGTGGGAGGAAATGTGTTAGTAATGACAGAAATGGGAGTCTACTGCTTCAGAAACGGTGCACTGAAGTTTCTGTGAGCCTTCAGGAACCTTCTAGTGAGAAGCACATAGAAAGCCATGAGGACAGATGTGGATTTTAAGTATTCCTTAACAATCAGCAAAGTCTGGGAAAAATGCACTAGGTGAAAATGGGGTCACATGGAAAAGCTGGTAAAGCTTTTGGTAATGGTAAGTGGACCTGATAAATGAACTTCCTACAACTGTTTTAGGAAGATTGACATG